CTCTGCATGTGTGACCCGCGAAAGGTCCACGATCACATTGTCAAGTCCTCGTCTGTTGAGAACAAACACGCAGGCTCGTGGTCGCTGGCCTGGATCCTCAGGAAGTGGACTCTGCGCGCAGACAAACATGGTCCCTTCGACTCCCGATTTCTCCCAGCTTTCTGAAGCGCTGTTGAATGTGTAGATGACAGCGTTGGCGGCTATACTGAGGATGGTATGGATGGAGGGGAGGTAACGTTGGAGGACAGAGAGATTAAGCTCAGTATTAGTGCGTGGAGGTGGTGGCGCATAGTCGGCATGTATGGCAGCGGCATCGGATTCATAGTCTGAAACGGCGGGGATACGGTTTGACGGCTGGCGACTATGGCGAGCCTTTCGTGGTGTTTGGCGGCTCATGATAATTATTGTTGTTGTTTGATGTTGGGCCCGATATGTATGTGGAGACGTGATCGCTAGTTGAAAATAGTCTTGTCACAAATGATAGATCAAGGCCGATGGGTCATGTACGTATGATATCAGGACCCCAGAAGATGATCGTGTGATCGACAGTTGGTTGTGGTATGCAGATTGAAGTTTACTCTTTGAGAGGCACGAGTTTGAATGCTTGGGCGCTGCTGAGCTTATCGATAACGCGCAAGATGACGCTGCCGCGGGGCGCTGAGCTGGACCCTCCTAAGGTTTCTACACCACCATTTTAGACTACAGTAGCAGCTCGACGTCATACGTTTAAGCTGAGGTTTATCTCCCTTTTTATCCCTTGTTCTAATTAGCTCAACATTCTTTTGGTGCTCACACGACCAAAATATCCCTTGCGTTGCCTTGCCTTGCGCCTACGGTAGAGCTAGGTTGTTCGAAGTCATGATCTAGAGAACTACAAATCGACCTCCCCGCGATATCTCGAGACGGCGCCGTGTATATAACTCGTCTCTCTCGTCCAATACTGTAGTAACGGCGTCCATGGCCGACGAAAATGACCAGTCCCCTGGTTCTGAACTGGGGGATCCCACCTCGACGACGCCTCAGTCTCTAGCTAAAGCTGTTCATGCCCGGCGATCCGAGTTCGTGCGTCCACACAGCCTAAAGGTCAAGATCGGGACGTGGAACGTTGCTGCGTGCACGGGTACTGATAAAGACCTCGCAACCTGGTTTACAGACGGCGAAGGCTTGGATCAACAATTGACGTCACTGAATCTTTCACAAAATAGCGCCGTGGAGACGGATGACAAGGACAATGGCAGTTCGAAACCGCATTTGACTGCCGGGGGTGATATTGGTCTTTATGTGCTGGGACTCCAGGAAATTGTAGACCTCAACACGACCAAGGAGTATATGAATCGAGCAGTATATACGGACACAAGTGTTATGGACAAATGGAAAGCGGCATTGGAAGCAGCATTGCCTAAAGGTTACGAACTTATCACTGGCGAACAAATGACTGGCTTGTTGTTGCTGGTTTATGCTTCTCCCGAAATTGCACCAACTATTAGCAACGTCAGTACCAAACAAGTTGGTACGGGCCTGCTAGGCTATTTTGGAAACAAGGGGGCCGTGACCACGCGATTGCTGCTTGGCGAAACAACTCGCATGGTTTTTATAAATAGCCACTTGGCTAGTGGTGCTGGCTCTTCGTATCTGGACCGGCGATGTTGGGATGTCGGTCAGGTTCTCTCGCGCACTCAGTTCGACCCAATCGTTCACTCAGGCGTTGAGGAAGATGAGGGCGAAAAGATTGGAGATGAAGATCTTGCATTCTGGTTCGGAGACTTGAACTTTCGACTGGATGGACTACCTGGCGACGATATCCGACGACTGCTCACGCTACATGCTAGAGGTGAATATGGTGCAGACGAGGACTCAAGGCCTCTCGATGAGCGAGGTGTTATTGTCATGAAGGGTTCGGACAGCGATGATGAGTCTTCTACGAGAGTATCGCTTCATTCGCGGGAAGAGAGCTTTGATACTGCGAGCGATCTACCAGACCCTGACGATTTCCCCGAAGATCCAAGCCAGGATCCCACTTCTTTACAGGCCACCATCGATTCACTATTACCACATGATCAATTACGAAGAGTTATCAAGCAACGAAAGGCTTTCCATGATGGCTGGCAAGAAGGGTCAATTACCTTTCTACCAACATACAAATATGATATCGGCACAGTTGGCCTCTTTGACACAAGCGAGAAGCAACGAGCTCCAAGCTGGTGTGACCGTATCTTATTTAGGACACGAAAAGATAAACAAGATTATGAAACAAAGATTAAAGATGAGGAAGAGGCGAAGAAGAAAGATGCAGAGATGAAGTCCAGAGGGCTCGAAGAAGACGAGGACGTGCTGTTTAGTTATGACCCCGACGCTGACGGGGAGGATCCAATGTCATCAACTGACACTTTGGGATATGATGAGTACGAGAATAATGATGACCCTGAAGCCGAGGAGCTCGTTACAAAGGAGGGCTTCCGTGACCGCATACACTTGGAGATTTACGCCTCGCATCAGCGCATCACATCGTCTGATCATAAGCCCATTACTTCTATCTTCACGCTCGACTACGACGCTGTTGTTCCGGAGCTCAAGGCAAAGATCCACGCTGAGGTGGCGCGTGAACTAGACAGGGCTGAGAATGAAGGCCGACCAGGCATTACGGTTGTCGTGGAAGGCAGTGACGGCAATGAAGAGAATATCGTCGATTTTGGAAAGGTTTCACCACTCGAAAAGCAGATCCGGCATCTTACGGTTGCAAATACTGGCAGTGTACCAGCGACATTCTCATTTGTGACGAAGCCGTCGACAGAAGACGGTGACGATGCTATCCCTGTATGGCTGAAGACCACATTCTTGTCAGCAGATGAAGAGTCTCAAGAGCCGTTGGGTGAAACAGTCACACTCGACCCAGGAGAAACAGCATTGGTATTGCTGGAGCTCCAAGTCTCGACCATTTCTCACATCCGGGCATTGAACGAAGCCCGCGCTAAGATCGAAGAGGTCCTGGTTCTTCGCATAGAGGACGGTCGGGACCACTTCATTCCCGTGCGCGGAATCTGGCAACCGTCTTGTGTAGGGCGCTCCATCGCAGAATTGATAAGAATCCCTGACGGTGGTATCAGAAAGTTTGTCGAGAAGACGGGTCTCAAGGGGGCGATTGCTTACGACTTGGATATTCATTGCTCAGCGCCGAAGGAGCTCTTCAAGCTTACTGAGGTGGTACAGACGCTTGTTGAACGAAGCCTGGCTGAATCAACAATGCTTGAGGAGGAAGTGCTGCCACGGGATCCTGGATGGCCCCTTGAGGCGTCGACGTGGAGGGTTGGAGAGACAGATATGCAGGATGCAAAGGTCAAGCTTGTGTCTGCCTTGGACAATGATGTTTCTCTTCTTGATGCGCTTCCATTGGAATGGCCTGCGTCGTTCAAGTTAGAAGCCGTCTCATCCATCCTGCTACTCTTCCTCGAGTCTCTCACGGACGGTCTGATCCCTACTCAACTCTGGGCCAAGATCTCAACATCATTGCCCAACGTGACATCCCTACCCATGACCGCTTGGCCCGACACCAAGACACAGATCCTGGACATTCTCTCATCAGCACCTAACCACAACATTGCATTCGTCTTCCTCACAGCTACTCTCTCCCGCGCTGCATCAGAACTCACCCCCGTGACGAACGAGCCAAAAGGCGGCCTCTCCCGCCGTCTGAGCTTCCGCCGCGGCAACGCAGAGGACGAAGACACCAAGAAGCGCAAGATGCGTGAACGTAGATATGCCGAGATAGTAGGACCTTTGGTCTGTCGTGTAGACGAAAAGGAAAAGGGGTCGAGGGATCGAGCGCGGACTGTCGTGGAGATGTTTATACGGCGGGATGAGGGAAGCTAGAAGCGGAGGAATCGCAAGATACCGTGGAGCATCTGAGGTTCACAGGAGGGTTAGTATATCTGGTCTTTGGTCTTTTTGAGTATTATACCAGCTTAGCTTTGTTTCGATGTATTCTTTAGGGGTGAACAGGGATACAACAAAGGGATTAGAGGATGTGGTTTGAACAGTAATGAAGTTGAAGGTGTGAACAACAAAGATTAATGGACATTGTAAAGTTGATATGCAGTCTTTAGGCTCTTTGCATTGCAGTTTCTAGCTACTGTTGCTGCAGTTTTTTCCCCACTGGCAGAACAGCAACGAGGCAATGCACTACTCCTTTTCGCCCAAGATATCAGCACCATGTACGGCGATTACTAAGACTAAAATGATATCCCATGACTGACATCATCTTCCTTTCACCGTTTTTTTCAGAAATCGAAATGGAATAGTGACTGTTGAGGTGATAAAGGCGAAGTGGCTGCTCCTGGCCTTTGCTACCACTCCCACTACGGCACTGCCATGTCCCCCCTCCAGCAGCACCAAGCCCCCAAGCTTGCCATTGTGCCTCTGTAGCCCCAAAGAACATGCTGTGTAGACAATAGAAGTTCTGCTCTTCGTTTGTCATGCCGTTTTACATTCTCGTTTGCCGCTTGCCGCTGGCGTTGGCATCACATTCAGGAACTCATCTACTCTTTCCCTGATGCCGAGCAACTCGCTTACAATAAGTGTTTGCTGGCTCCCGTGACCACTTCTGGGCGTGTAGTCATCTTTATTTTATCGATAGCTTGCGAATCAGTGCTTCTGCCCTTTTGTTGCTCCGCGGGGCTGGAAACGTAGGCTCGATCTTCCATCCGTTTGCAACTTTTGCTCTTCTCCTCCCACAAAAACTCTCACTTCCCACCTCCCCCCTCCAACTTTGCTTTTTTCTTTTCTTCAAAACAAAAACCCCCAAAAAAAGAGACGAAGATCATCTGCTAGAACATAGTTTTGTTCTCTATATTTTTCGAACGTATTACTTTCGCAACTTAGAGCTCCGACAGTCTCATTGCCGCCTTCTCTCGTTGATCAGGCATTTGTGCTCTCCTCTTACTCGACGAGAAGTGATTAGCCTTGCTCCAGACACATTCAAAGATAACTGTGGCCTGTTTTTCATCATGTCGCTATGGGAACTGAGGTTCCATGACACGGCCAAGATGCCGGAACCTGTTCGACGAGCGGCCCTTAGAAATGGGCACAAGCAGCTTGATTTTCTCCTTGGTATTCGAAATCAAGCTATTCCATATGCTTCATCTGAAGACATTTGCATTTACGCCTCTTTCGTCCAACTTCCTCCGACTACCCCTGATGAGGCCGAGAGTCTCCGCAACATCTCATCGGAGTAGGACACTGATGATGATGAAGCAGGCTCGGACTCGTGGGAGCATGGTTCAGATAGTGATAGTGAAGCTACCACCGAGCACGAGTCTGACCAAGAGCAAGAGAACGATGACGAGGACCCCTGGGATGCCCAAGCTGCAGCAAGCGCTACAGCCGTGGATGAGGCAGACGCCGTTGACTCGCAAGACCACACTGGATCTGACGAGCACGCCGGAAACGCAAACCTAGCCGATGCTGAGACCGCCGTGGATGAGACCTTTGATCATGGCATGAAGGCCCTTGCTGCAGCTTTACCTAGCGCCTCCACTCAAGCTCAGGCTTCTACCACCAATACCACGACAGCAGAGAGTCCGGTAACTGCCAACAACTTTCTTACAAATGATTCCAGAAGCAGCGGGGGACATAGCGGTCAGTCTTTGGGTGGATCCATGGATGTCGCCCAAAGCACCATCACCGAAGGCACCAACACAGATGACAACCCACAGGGCAATAGCCCGAAATGGCTCAGGAATACGCCCGGTGCTCCCTACAACAGCGAAATGGCTGCCTCTCCCAGCAACGCAAACAGTACAGCAGATCAGGAAGGCAGGGAGGCAGACGCCAACTCTGTCGGGGAGGTGGAAGACCAACCCGTCCGGCCCAACAACATCCACGTCCCTATTTATAGGCGACCAAGTACCCTCCATGATACTCCCCCGACTTGGGCGGATGAGTACAAAAAATTCTTCGACAAAGCCTTTGAGGTTTGGAGTGTCTTTTACCACACTCGCGCACCCAGACCTCTCCGGGCACGACTCGGAGATCTGCGTACACACGACGCAGCCGTCAAGCGGTACAACCTCATCAACCTCGGTCTCTACCCTTGCGTCACTGCCGGCCATCTCATCGAACTGAAGCGTCGTATCGACGATGTTTCCCACTTCTGTGATTTTCTGACTTGCAATATCATGGAGATCGATATTGCCAAGAACCTGAGGAGAGATGTCCTGTACACCTATCCCTGCAACTCGCCGCTTCGACTGCGGACCAAAGGCCTCGGAAGTTCTCTGCGCTTCGCGACCCATGTAGACGAGGGCTGGGTTGACCCGGAGGACAACTGGGGAATGCCTCCTCCCCCAAAGCAGAGAATCCCCATGCAGTTCCATCCATCGCAGAATGCGTCTTGGTAGAAAGTGGTGGGAATCTTTTGGTTGGTCCGGGGGATAGAATAGGACACCACAAGACACCGACACAGATTTAAGAGATCTTGACCACGCGTAGATGGCACCGGATTTTTGTTTTGAGTTGGTTTGGTGTACGGGAACATCAGGAACATCAGGAACCACAGCGAGCTTAGGAGCGGCGATACTACAGGAAACAGAAAACAAAGGAGAGGCTTGGAGTCAGCGGATTTTCCGATTGGATCTAGACATAGATCAGCGTATCGCTTACATAGAATAAAAGCTGCTTAGAATAATCTATTCTGGTCTTGGTGTAAAAGTGTATGTTTATTCGAGCCCTCATGTGACTATCAATCCTGGGTGTTGTATCGTTTTTCCAACCCTTCCACCATTGGAAGCTCTTCAACTGCTGGTAATACTAAAACTCATATGGCAAAAGATTCGTAACGGTCGTTATTTTATTGATTCAAGCCTCGTATCGTATGTTCTCGCCGAGTGTTCGGTTCGGTTCGTTCTTAGCCGGCCGCAGCGACAGCCGTCGTGACGGACATGAACGTTGACTCGGGTTCTGGCTCTCTCGTATACGTCGGATGCGGGCACCACTTCTTCTCAAACATTTGCGATACCCAATACAAAGAATGGTCCCAATCGTACTTGTCCTGTTCTCCTGCGTAGCGAATGGATCCGGCGTCGTGTTGGAGAGTAATCTTTGGAACTACACGGTCGGTTAGTACTAATATGCTGTATGGTGGAGTTTCTGCACCGCAGACCTTTTCCGTTATCCCTCTTGTATTGTTTCCATACCAGAAGATGTTTCTTTACCGCTGGGTCCTTGAGATTCTGTTTCACGAGGCGCCGATCCTTGGGTGCCAGAGTCTCAAAGTGGTCATTTCTTCGTTCACCATTAGTGAGGCCTGACGACCGAGTAGTCGGCCATTGATCATAGTTGTAGTAATGCCAGTGGATGAGAATATTATTGCAGCTGACATGGAGTCCCTCGACAAAGTCTGGGATCGAGTATCGCAACTGTTACGTTAGCTACGTCCTTTGAGGGTGAGGTCGCCATACACTTGATCCATAGTTAGCTCTTGCATGCCGGTACCGATCTGCTGTCATGCGACTCGCTTCGCGTAGCAGTATGAAGACGACGAGGTAGATTGTGAACCACCATCGATTCTTGTCCTGGCTGAATAGCCAATCGATGTCGCGTAGGAGCTTCTCCTTGTACCGCTCGAGGACCTCATTGTAATTGAGGGTGTCGAATTGGGCGACTACCATGCGAGGGACAGACACCTTGCCGTAAAGAGGGTAGGATTTGTCTTCGGTTTCGGGGAGCATGCCTAGAGTTTCGTTGCCTTCGATGTAGAGAGACCCTACAGTGTGCTCTGGGCGGGATTAGAGTGGGACGCAATTGCGATGGGGGTCAAGAGGAGCACCTACGGATGGCGCACCAGAGGATAAAAAGGTTGCCAAATATCTCAAGCTCTTTTTCATCGTCCCTTGAGAGACTTCCGCTGGATTTATGTTCATTCTGCGAAGGAGTCAGCGTAAGGCAAGGCTCGTGTCGGGACTCAATTGGCATACGTGGAGGTCCAAATAGCGAGCCATGGCCGTGAGGTACGTTCTGATGATGGGCCCTTGTCCAGCTTCTGATTCACTCTCCTCTTGGATAGTGTGATAAAAGGCTGGGAGAGCATTGTCAATTGTGTATTGTCGAACGCTTTCGGCCGTGTCGTAGATGTTTTCCAGGCAGTAGTTGGCCAGTTCCTTCTTCTTGAAGGTCTCCTTCCCGACAAGGCCGTCAGTCCAGTATCGGGCAGTCACGTCCCCATCGATGGGTCTGAATCGCACAACGTTCATGCGAAGAGGTTTACTACAAAGATTCTGTGAGACTTCAATCGTGACAGCAACTGTATCGATTCGATCCCCAATGTCTCGCATTTCGATGCCCGCCCAGCGTCTCGTGAGTTTGAGCCCGCCGCATCGATAAAGAACGACGTCGGCAATTCGGAGTCGCAAGCATGGAACGCGATGGATTGTCTTTGGCGACGACTTGGAAACATTCTTGCATGTTTTGCATTGTCCTTCTGGATTCTGCTCGTCTATAAGGCACTGTTCATTTCATGTTAGTGTGACCAATTGCAGGAGAGGGAATGAATGTGTACTTTGATTTTCTGGAACCGACAACGAACACAGGCGCTGATCTCTCGTGTGAACCGTACAACCTCATGTTCCTCCAATGTGAGGGGACGTTTTCCAGAGCTAGTTGTTTCGCTTGGAGAAACGATGCTGTTTGTTGAAGATGATGGAATATCCAAAGTAGGCGACCCTGTTTCGTCTTCGATTTCAACATCAGTGTCGCGAGCGTCCGAGATATACCCAATCTCTTCTTCCGACACCTCCTCGTCGTCGCTTGACTCGTTCTGGGGACTGGCCTCTTCATCTGAATCATCGTTGTCTGAAGATGACTGAATACGGTGCTCCCGACTGGACACGGCCGAGGGACCAGCATGTGTCTCGAAGCAGTCCGAGTCCGAGTGATCGCCTATAATTTCGTCTAATTGTCCAAGAAGATCATTGTCTACATCGGACTCTTCATTACCTTCTCGATCTTCCGGCTGGACAATCCGTTCATCATCATCTACTCCACTGCTCCCATTGAAACTGCAACATGTGCCGCCAACACTTTCAGTGTCGTCTTCATCGCTTGTTTCAAAGGAATGAATGGGTTCTGGGGAGTGTGCAGTGGCGAGGGCGCGTCGAATGCCATTCGGGGGGGTTCCTGGGCGGCTAACATTATCATGACCTGTACCCGGTGCAGGGACATCTTCAGCAACCGCCCAAACTTCAAGATCCGAATCCTCATCTTGAAATCTGCTAGCAATGGCCTCATCTCTTGAGCGCGAACCAGTGACGGGCCTTCCGGGGTCGAGAGACAGCAAATCATTGAGATCGTTCTCTAACTGGTCAAGGGTGTCTGAGTGATCTGAGTCGTCGTCATCATCAGAGTTCCGACCGAGGCCAACCTGAGCTTGGACTTCTTGACTCGGGGAGTCTCCCAGCGTATCCGGAGAGAATAAAGAGCCAGGTACATCTTCCGCACCCCTCCTCAAGGGAAAGTCCAGCCCTAGCTCTGTCCTGTCCGTCTGTAAGTGACCCGCATCGTCACCAGGTGGAGAGATTAACTGGTTGCCATTGACTGAACAAGAAGCTTGTCCATTTGAAGAAGTATGAGAACAAGTACCTTTGTCCAGAAGAGATACTTCTGGTGGGGGCTGGCTCTGGAGTGTCTGACTCAAAGGTTGTGCAGAAGCAGGACCCGAGGACTCGCTAGAGCTGGGACCGGAGCTGCAATCGGAGTCTGGAGCTGAACTCTCGGGGCTTAATCCGTGTCCGGATGAGATTGTCCTATGCAGAGGGGTACCGTGACTTCCATGGCGTGGATTTGCTTGTCCAGATGATATTGAGAGAGGAAGTTCGGATGATGAAAGCTCCTGAGGAGGACTCCCCAGGCCCTGAACGTTCACAACATTGGCACTCCCACCAAGATACACACCCCCTGTGTAAGTGCCACTAGAAGTGGTATTGTCTGACCTGGGGTGTCCAGGTTGCTGATCAAAGTCTGGCGATACGCTGGACTGTGACGAAGAGCTTGGATCCTGCCGGTTTGCACGCCCAGGCTTGGACACTGTTCCCAACACACGATCTTCATTAGCTGCGTAACCGTTAGAACTGTGTCAGTGCCGCTCTCGAACCAACACTCACCAGTATCAAATTGCTGTTGGTTCAAGCTCAAGCAGTGACGTTTTCGTTTCGGCCCAGCGCCCGTGCCCGTATTCTGCCGCTTCCGAGTTCTCTGGATCGACCTGTTAGAAGAAAGTACCCAAAATATTTAGACAGGGTCAAATGAATCCATGGCTTGGAAACGGGGTCCCTTCAGTTACACAGCATCGAACCGACACCCACCAACAGGGCCTACTGCACAATTCTCACAGGGGTGCCTTTAGGCATTGTTCCTGGCGAGCAAAATTGCCGAAGCTGGTAGGCATCCTTATTGCAAAACGTTACACGAATTGAGGCCCGACAACTGAGCTGAGCTGGTGGAGTCTGGTTCGTTCATCTTCATCCTTTCTCACTTACGTGGATCTCAGCTGGACGAGTAAAATTTTCCATTCTGGCACCTGGGTTCCAAGACCCATGAAGCGCAAGGTCCCGTGCCGACAAAAGTTGTCGATTGCATGCACGTCCTTTACCGATATGCCCGATATTGGGGATACCGCTGGCTTGTGAAGCACAAACTCGAGTCACACGACAGCTCGGCAGAGGTGGTGAAGTGACAACGCAGGAGGCAAGATTGCAGCCTCCCTGAGGGAACGTGCCCTGGAATCACCCACTCGTTGCCCTCGAAACCTGGTCTGAAGGGGGATGCAGGGGCGTCGACATCTACCAGTCCCTGGCCGTTGTGTGAGACATCCTTGAGATAATCCTTGCTCGCAGCTGCAGCTTATCATCTTGAGCAACAATCCAAAATCCCAACAAATCAGTATAAATTTCACCATTTTCTTCTCCCAAATGTGAGGTTTTACAAAACTCATGTCTTCTGGTGTTTAGACCAACTCGTGTGGGTTATGGTTCAAGCGTCGAGATTTGCAGCGAGGATTGATCGTCCCTAGTAAGGATTGGATTGGACTTCTATCCCTGTTCAAAATGTTTAGCCAATCAGAGACACGGCAAGGGGTCTTTACGGACCCATAAAGCTCGTCTTCTGTCCTCGCCGGTCGACCTGAGTGGTCAATTGGCACATACTGTGGGTTCATCTGGCACGCACTACGCATGACCCGTGCCGAGAGGTCATGGATTGTGACAGGAGGCTATTCGAAATAGCCTTCTCCAGAGACGGACGGAGCAACGTCATACTAGCTATGCGAGCAGCTGGTCTTATCAGGCACTACCAAAGTTTAAATGGGCATTGAGTGTGTGTCTGTAGCTGCAAGGTGAGAGGAAAGCCA